TTTTTTTTTCCCCCTCAATGAATTAATGTGCACGGATACATGGATCCTTGCCTGGATGATGTAACACTTTCAATGTTTGCAGGGCCATACTACTGTGGTGTTGGAGCTGACAAAGCTTATGGCAGGGACATAGTCGAGGCCCATTACAGAGCTTGTTTGTACGCTGGAGTCCAGATTTGTGGCACAAATGCTGAAGTGATGCCTGCTCAGGTAATTAAAGAAGCCAAACATGAATTTGGATTTGAAACCTGGTTTTTCTGGTTCTTAAGAGACAGTTAAAAGTATCACTTGTAATGCTGAGCTGTCTCTCCATGTGCAGTGGGAGTTCCAGGTCGGACCTTGCGAAGGCATTGACATGGGCGATCATTTGTGGGTAGCGCGCTTCATCCTGCACCGTGTCTGTGAGGATTTTGGCGTTGTCACCTCATTTGATCCCAAGCCAATCCCTGGAAACTGGAACGGTGCTGGCTGCCATACGAACTTCAGCACGAAAGAGATGAGGGAAGACGGTGGATTGAAGTGCGTGGCAAAAGCTTCATGGACTTAAGTTCACATCTAGTTTAATTTATTTCTTTAAAAAGTTATTTTTGCATTTCTGATGTGACACTTGTCATTCCTGCTTTCAGAGCTATTGAGGATTCCATTGAGAGGCTCGCAAAGAGGCACAGCTACCACATTCGTGCCTACGACCCCAAAGGGGGGCTCGACAACGCCCGCCGTCTCACTGGCCGCCACGAAACATCAAACATCCACGAATTCTCTGCAGGTGTGGCCAACCGTGGTGCCAGCATTCGCATTCCTCGTAGTGTTGGTCAGGAGAAGAAGGGCTACTTCGAAGACCGTCGCCCATCAGCCAACTGTGACCCGTACAGTGTGACCGAGGCCCTGATTCGCACCTGTCTGCTGAACGAGGAAGGAGATGAACCCGCGGATTACTAAATCCACAACTGACTCCGACTGTTTCTCTCCCCCCCCCCCCCCCCCCCCCCCCTAATTTCTTTTAAACTAGTACTGTATTTTTTTTCCCTCCCTTTCTCCCTCTGAGATGATTTTTAACCCACATTTTTAATGGCTTAAAGTTGACTGGTCAACTGAAAACATGACAAGGTGTTAGATCCTTGGTAGTTGTGAGCTGGTCATGGCAGGGTATGCCTTTCCCCTCATCTTTAGCAGGGATTGGCTTTTGTAACACTGTTTTGTAACCCATGTCATATCATTCCCTGTTTTGTCAGTGACTAAAACGAACTAAAGCACATGGACACTGCAGAGTAGCGCTGCTAAGACTGGACAGCATTTGTAATTGAGTAAATCTGACTAGTTAGTATACTGTTAATATGTTGAACTGCCTTTCAACTATCCAGTCTTCATTGTTACTAATTCTGTCATTTTATCAAGTGTCTACTTTTAAATGGCAACATTTGTCTTCAGAGTTTTGACACACTGGGTCATCTTTGTATCGTACACTTTGTAGAGGTCTGTACCCAGATGTAAGTTGTGCAAATGTGGTGGATCTGTCCATAATGCCATTTGTAGATTTCCTCAAGGAGTTTTATCCTTTTGTTAACTGCGATATTATAATGCACCTGATTTGGTAAAACATTACATTTACTGAACATGGTGATTTTTATTGAAACATTTAAAACTTTTATTTTTATCACAACACTGCTGTGTGACTCTTTGACTTCCCACACTTTCAACCGACTTGCTTCCTTGTAGAAGCTCAGACAGGTAGTGGTGTACTATAGCTGGTTAACCTCATCTGTTATTGCCTACCTTAGACTTTAAGGGTTGGGGGGGAACTAACATTTTAGGACTTCCGGTTTAACAGGTACATATCAAGACCAAGGTGTAATGATCCAAATAATATGGGTGCCAGTCGTTTACAGCCCAACTATTAACCCAGAAAATTGTATAAAAAGCTATGAGCTTGCAAGTTCCAAAGTGTTAGGAGTATAAATGGAGACCGGAGGACTCAAGTGCCAAAAAATATATTGCTTTTTGCCTACAGGTTCTATATGCAGATGCAAACATTGTTTATACAGCTAAAGGTTGCATTGCAGACCCAGTGGCAGCTTCTATCTTCTCATCTAACTTTTAAGAATAGTGTGCTTGCCAAAATATTGAATAATCAAAGTTGTCCAGCTATGGACAGCAAAGCATCAAGTTTTCATTGATAAACTTAGTTTAGACTGGAGCATTCATAAAGCTATCATGACAGTGTGAAAATCATGATTGATCCAAAGGTTTCTAGCTGCAGGAGGAGCTCGGGCTGCTCTTCACACATTTGTGCAAGCTGTTAAAACAGCTGGCACTGCTGTGTTGTTACTGTGAGTGTTAAAAGGAAATACACCAAGAGGAAACACTAGTAATGTTTCAGTCTGGCTGATGCCTTGGCAGGAGCTCAACAGCAGCTTTGTTTGGGCTTGTTTTTAGGATGGAATGAGAAGTAACTGAAAACTGGTGCACTCATGAGACAGCTATTAAACTCCTTCAGTGAAACAGCCAGAGGCCAGTCTTCCCAGAAGTGCTGTGTCATTTGACAGTCAGACAGCACCGCAGATTGTTGTGGCTTGGATGTACTTTGTCTGCACACTGTTATTAACTTAAGAAACAAACTAGAAAAACAAGTCTTTCCTTTGAGTTAAGAGGATGGCAGGTTTGGGGTAAATTTCCACTAGTTGCAAATTTCTAGGTGCTGCCAGTTGATGCAAAGTAGTAAATTCAGCATATTTCTGGTGTTTACATATATTGTTTACCCTTAAGCGTTGCGATCTGTAGAGAACACGTATAAATTCAGCTGTGTTCAAATCCAACATGTCAGGAAAGAGTTGGGAATCTGCACTATACAGAGAAAATAACAGGATGGAAAATAAATCCTTTTTTTTTTTTGCGCTAATATAATGAGACAAAAGAGTGACCCAATTTCCTAAAAAAGCACACAACATGGTCATTTCACGTGACAGAACATTTACTTCTGCTGTCCTCTCCTTTCTTGGGGGTAGGGAGAGGTAGGGCTTTGAGACCTTTCCCCTACATCCCAGCTGCCCTTACAACACAATGCTAGTCAGATCCCTGATTGGCTTTGCATGGCGCAGGTTAGCCAATCATAATGCCGAAAGCAGGTTTACTCATATTTCAGAAGACGGTGAATGGCTTGAAGCCAAGACATGTACTTTGTTTTTGTCTTTTCTGGGAAAACACGAAACCTCTCCACCCTTTTAAACTTTGTTTTGTAGAAGACTTTTCTGAGTTCACTGAGTTCGTAACAGAAAACCAATAAGGAAAACATGTGCAGGATGTAAAGTTTGAAAGGAAAAACAAGTATAAACTGTGCTTTAAAACTTTAGAAGATAAAACCTTCCAATCACTAAGTTGCTAATTGGGCATTGAACTGTATCTTTTATTGTGAGTTTATTTAGAGACTGTTGTGCACTACAGCTAAAAGTGTGTGTGTGTGTGTGTGGGTGTGTGTGTGTGTGTGTGTGAAGGTCTGTGGGGGGGGGGGGGAGTGCGAGATATCTTTACTGTTTAATCATTCATAGGTCGGGGTGCGCTCGGCAGCAAAGGGGAGGTTTGCACACACTTGATTAATTGCAGGGCATGCAATTTGCAAGGCCAATTCAAGATGCTACAATTGAAATCCTGAATTTACTACATGGAGCCATGGCCACGGAAATGTGCTTGGAG